TATATATATGTGTGTGTGTATATATGTGTGTGTGTATATATGTGTGTGTATATATATATAAATAAATAAAATAATACATTATAGTATATTACATATTCAGACAACAATAAAACAACAGAGACTGACAGTGTTTCCTTGGAAGATGCCGTCTGTACATTAAAAGTAAAAAGCTCTTGCGCACACACACACACTCTCTAAACATTCACAAACGTGTTTCATGCTTCAATCAGCTGCATAATTAAAAGTGTAATTAGGACGAGGCAGGTGATCCAAAGAAGAGATTTAATGCGTAATTATTTCACGACAGGAATGAGAAAGTAAATGAATAACGAGTCACCGCTCAGCAGCAAAGACTGAAGCCAACACACACACACACATCTGACATTTTCATCAGTATGTTTATGATTTCTGTTACATTTCCAACACTGAATAATGAATTATGAGGTAATCCTGGTGTTGTGGAGCAGCGGGCCATGGACCAGAACCAGAAGCAGTGTTATGAATAGTATTTGTTAGCTTAGTAAGTGAGTTAAAACGTCACTGGAGAGTTTCTTCAGAAAAGGTAAAAGGAGAACTAACCATCAATGATAATGCAGAGTCAGCAGAGGCAAAAGCTCCGTTCTGTCATCTGTTTGTTTTGTCTGCTTCAGACTTTGTATAGATGAGTTCGTCCCCATCAATCTAACGTTAGACCAAGAAGAGACCGACCGATCTGCTCCCACCAATGTAACGATAGTGTCATATAATATAATGTATACGCTCTCTCCTCATTGGGGACAACAGAAAAAAGGCCCTATGAGTCACCAAGAGATGCTACCAGTCGTTGAGCAATACTGCTGCTTTAAGTGAATTATACATTTCAAGATGTATTTGCATTATAATATGTTGTCTGTCACTGTTCTAGTGTTCATATGACAACATGTCATTCTGCTTTATGCTCAGACGGAGCTGCAGCTACGACTATCTGGTCCAGTCTACACACGGTGTCATACAGAGAAATACTGGCTCGTCAAAAAATGTCACTTGATCTGAACTGCGTATTGAGTGACGTTATTAAATGCAGCTTAAGTGGAAGTTCAAACATACAAAGTTTGGTTCTACTTGGCTTCCCTGGAAGACAGACACATGTGGAATTGAAAGAAAAGCTTTTAAAAGTACTTTGAGGGACTTTGTTCGTCTCACCTTGGCGTCGTGGATTCCTGACACCTCCTCGAAGGTCTTCTCCCCCACCATGACTGCTGCTAGGTTGGCGGTGTAGCTGGACAGCACCAGCAGGCAGAAGATGGCCCACAGGTTCATCAGAAACCGACCTGTCCAACACTTCGGCGTCTTGGAGGAGACGGTGCGTCCGAACAGGATGGCGTAGCACAGGTTGAGAGCAGACGAGTATGAGAACACCCTCACCCTGTTGCGTCCGTGAGGCGTCATGCCGTATGGACTCTTCCACTCGTACAGTGTGAGAAAGAGAGCTGTGATGTGCAGCGCCAGGAAGATGCCCACCCACATGGACCAGTGCAGGGGCCACATGAAGGCTCCGATGGGGGCCGCAGTGTCCTTACTGCGCACCAGGATGCCCAGGCTGGTGGAGAAGAAGGGCGAGGTGAAGTCAATCACTCGGCTCCGAGCGGAGTTGATACTGAAGGAGGTTACGGCCATGTCTGCCAGTCCGTTCAGAAGATCTCCCACGAGCCCAGTCCAGCGCCCCCCCTTCCACGCTCCGTACTTTCCGTCTCCTACGATGTAAAGGTCAAACTCGAAGCCCAGGTCCTCGGCCAGTTTCTCCAGCAGGTCGATGCAGTAACCGTAGCAACACTTGCTGTGCTCTGCAGGCAGGAAGCTGCTGTTCCCTCCGGCCACCTCCCTGAAGAATCTCTCCAATGTTTCCGAGCTGTTGGTGCTGGCGTCCAGGCAGTACTGTCCGGCTGGGCAGCTGCCCTCTTCGTCCACGTCCCTTGTGAAAACGAAGGGATGCTCTACCAGTGTGACCACCCGAACCCGACTCCCCACCACCGGCATCCCCGGCCTCCAGCGGCCCTTCGTCCTCCCGCTCATGCCATCTGTTGTGTGGCGAGGTTTGGCCTCCTGCCAGACTACCTGGTCCTCCACCTGCAGCTGGCCTCCCTCCCAACTGCCCACCGTCACCCAGGTGGGCTGACCCAGCGCGTCCCGTCGTAAGCTCCAGATGTGGAAACGCTGTGAGGTGAGGACCTGAGACCTGTTCTGGTGGACTCGTACTGGACCTGTGAGACCGGAGAAAGACGTGTTGGACAGGAACCTGTAGGACAGAAAAACAAAAAAGAAAGAAAACGGCAGCTAACACACACACACACCAGATGAGGTTTGATCTGTTCTCTGGGTGGTTTTGAGATATCCAGGTTCTAAGATTTCACAACCTAGAGAAACAAACTGATGTACAGCAAAATGATCTTTTGTTGAGCAAAATAACAGGGGTTGAACCTTGTACTCGTTTTCTTTACAGAAAGCCGTGGTTTTCTGTAAAAGTAGGCTGTTTAGTCTCTTTTAATACACAAATCAGATTTAGATTTATTTGTTTACACAATAAAACAGAGCAGCAGACAGACAGAGTGGGTAAAGTGCTTCTAGAACCAGGACAGAGTTCCACACTTAACAACTCTTCTCAAGTCACAGTCTCAGTTGGGCAGATTGTTTTGAACTATGCAGTGAATATTCGTGGTCCTCAGAGGATGTATCCTCGGGATTTTGTTTAGGTGCTAGCATCATGGAAAAAGTTTAACACCACAAACGTAATAACCTGATGTTACTGTCTTTATATTTACTGATAACTCTGAAAGCATTTCACGTTCAGATGTCAGTGTGATGAGTCTGTGATCTGACTTCATATTAACCTTCATGTTTCTGTTTCTCCTCACGCTCTCTCTTTTATCTCTTTTGTTCTTTTCTCCTGCTGCAGCTGATAATCCGTCCTCAGAGGTTTTTATCTCTCAGTCTGAGTGTAATTTAATTTCCTGTCAATGTGTTTGATCTTTCCTGTCACTAAACTGAATGCAGCAGTTGAACCTTTAAAACCCCTCAAACCTGTAGCTTGTCTTGATCTCAGTGTTTCCTGCAGATCATCGCAGTGCTTCCTGCGACTGCAGAGGGCCCATAGAAAATTGGCTATCTAAAATAATTAGTGCCCGATTGCAAGCACGGGTGTGGTTTCAGAATGAACGAGGGTCACTCACACTTGAATTAAAAATAGAAATGTGACAAAGGTATTCTCACGTTTTAGTCATGTTATTCTGAATTAAACTCCTTTCGTCTCTGTTAAAATAGTTATTGTTGAAGAAAAGAAGAACATTGATATACGGAAGTGTATATACTGTATATATATACACACATACTATATATATATATATATATATATGTAAAACCAACATATTTATATTTA